TGACTAGGGGTCTCTAAACCCCTAGTCACCCCCCTCCCCCAAAAAATTAACCCCTACCTAACCCCCTCACCCTAAAAATAATGAGGGGGGGACATTTAACTAAGTACCTGAAAAAAAAAATGTTTTTTTATTTGGCCTTTTTTGGGGCTGAAAAAAGAAGATTTTAGAAAAAAAGAAAACATCAAATGGTAAGTTTTTTTTTTTTTTTTTTCAGGTACTTAGTTAAATATTTTAAGTGTTGCAAATGCTTACAGCTGAATCCTGGCTATGTTTGTATACTTTTTATTTAAAATTGTATACGGTGTGACATTATTCTTCTTACGTAAGTATATTAGTACTTAGGCAATACTGTGCTTCGGAACTTCGGCAATTCAGCACTTCGGCACTTCAACACTTTGGAAATTCAGTAATTTTGGAACTTCGGGACCTCGGTAATTCATCACTTCGGCAATTCAGCACTTCGGCTATTCGGACATTTAGAAGTATCCGAATGTCCGAATTGCCCGAAATTCGTCCGAATTCATATTCGGCCTGAAACTAATTGCACATGTCTAGTCATTTGAAATGCTCATCCAAAAATATTAAATCGAGGCCATGATTAGGAAGTTTTGGCTTTCTTGGTTTCATTTTATTGAGTTCTCTACAATATGTTTTTATTTTGGTAAGTAAACCACATATTCTAGTAAATAAATTGTAAACAGCCATGGGACCTTTAAATGTATGTTGAGAAAATGGCTAGACTAAACTTGCTGTGCTGTAATGTCATCAGCAAAGCGTTTCAGAGTGAAGTGTCCGTAAGAAGCAAAACACATTTTTCCCTAATACTACTCTCAGATAATTAAACGTACATAGTATTTAATGCTCAAAGAAAACCTTTTATCGTGGGCCTTCATTCCGTAAAGCTCTTCTTTAGATCAAAGTAAAGTAATGGCAATAATATTCTAAATGCCTTCAAAAGTGGTTGTTATTTCAGTGAAAAAGATAAATTACTACTATGTGTGGAGGCGGGACGTAATGATAAATCGGATTATTACTCACTTACAGAATTTTAATTTTATCCACCCAAGATGATCCTCGTGCAAATCAATGCTTGGAAATGTACAAACATGCTTCTAAAAGGCATATTAAAATGAAATGATACAATATTCATAGTCAGATCAATCTATTTCATTCCCAGATTTATTCCTAAGAAGATATGATGCCAATGATATTTTGCAGCATTAATTGATATAGCACATTTTGCAGAAACGCATAGTCCGTTAGTTTAAAACATATTAGTGTTTTATTTCCTAAGGCAACTTTTGATAATATCACATTCAGTGAGTGAGGGTCGGTGTCCTACTCTAAGCAGTGTATGTCAGTATTCCAGACAGTTGGTGAGGCCATTGTAACCTTGCAAAATAATGTACATTTACCTAATATTACAATAATTAAAATCTTATAATTTTCATTACATTTCCCCTATCATTTACACCACGTGTCATTTTGTCCAGCCCTGTGCAGAGCCCAAACAGTTGGGGTCTTCAGTGTGTGATGACTGGGTCAGAGATGTGGGGTTCATATTTATTTTTATCTGTGAAATAAAACAGAAAAAGAGAAAAATAGAGAACATTCTTTACTTTTAAAATTCATAAATAAAATTTATTACATAATGTAAAAAGCTGTAGTAGGAGATTTACATCCATCCTTTAGCTTTTACCCCTGGAAGGGCTACAACTTTCTGTATTCATATGCAATATCCCTGGTATTTTAGGATTGCCAGTTTAGACTGATAGGTTTTCATACTACTGATCAATGAACTTACAAATGAGGACCCATTGAACTATCACAAGAACCCAACTTTGGTTCCGACTAATGAGAAAATTGTCTCATCGGCCAGGAACCAAAGTTGGGTTCTCATCTGTAAGTACAGTCACATCAATATTCATCATACAATGTGCAACTAGACTAGGAAGTACCTTTAGTTGCTGTCTAAATGACTGTAAATAGAGGTGTTACTAGGAAAGCAATGTAAACACTGCATTGTTTCCGAAAAGTTATTGTTTACTGTGCTCAGACAGCATGGACAGCTAAATGTAAGCTTCATTAAAGGGACACTACAGACCCCTAAAGCACTTTAGCTTGTTGAAAAGCGGTGTGAAGAGTGTGTCCTTTTTTATTTTGGAAAAAGTGCACATTTCAATAGAAATTTACACTTTTATAAATTATACTGGTTACACCCCCTGACTTTTCATGCAGACAACAGGACCTGTTACTTCCTGGTTTGGTTAGCTTAGTTGCACTGAACTCAAGAGGCATCAATTGTGCAGAGCAGCTGACTCGCATAGACTTCTCATTGAGCTGCATTGAGAAATCTGTGATTGAACAGTCATAGAAAGTTGGAAGGGAAGGGTTTGCAAGTGCAGAAGTTTTTCAAACAGTTTTTAAATATACCACCAATAAAACCTGGATACTTAAATGCGTGAATGTTTTCAGTTGGGGTATATCTACAAAACAATGACTTTTATTTATTTTGTATTTGGGCAGTGGAGTGTCCGTTTAAACTTAATAATTTTTTTTTTAATGAGAAGTGTAGATTTGATAACAGTTGTCCTTTAAGAATGGGTCAGTAACTTAATATTGTTCTTGTCAAAATAGGTTCAGAAACTTTGCTGTAGAATTTTACATTTTTAATTTTTTTATTAAGGCAAACGTTGTCTTGTTCCTGATCTGATAAATCTGTCACCTGCAAGACTGACTTATGTTTTCCAATCTTGATTATTAATTATGGCTGTAATAAGGTAGCAGCAAAGTCATAGACCCACATAGCTAGGATGACATCTTCTTGTCATATTTATAATTAATGTGTCTAACTGACATGAGAAGAAATGGCACTGTACTATTTAAAACTCAGACCTAGAGTCCCTATTGCATGTGTAAAAAGGAAACTGTCCCCCATACCCCTGCTGCAATTTCCTTACAGAGGTGTGTGTTATATGACAACCACCTCCGGTCCGCCCGCACTCGTCCTCAGCTCTTTGTTGATCTTCCTCCATGAAGTTGACATGCTAGCTTTGTTGCAAACGTGGCGGCGTCTGAATGGAGTGATGTCATGTCCCTCTGTTTTTACACTTCCTAGCAAGCGCTAGCAGTTTTGGATAGAGAGTTTACCACAGCACATGAGCCACGGTTGTTATGGGCGGTACATAGTTACATAGTTACATAGCTGAAAAGAGACTTGCATCCACCTCACATTTGTTTTTTGCTGTTGATCCAAAAGAAGGCAAAAAACCCCAGTTTGAAGCACAATTTTGCAACAAGCTAGGAAAAAAATTCCTTCTTGACCTCAGAATGGTATGGAGAGGTACTTCTGGCAGGAGTTATCTCATGCTCTCCCTGTGTCCTAAATCCTCGACATTAAGAGTCTGCAGAGAAACTAAAAAGGTTTTTCTCCCAATCTATACATTTGCTAGCTAAACTGGTAGCACAATGTATTGATGGATTCTGAAGCTAATTTTAAAAGAGCCAAAGTCACTATAGGCATAACAGGTTCCCTTTAAGTTTGAAGCTCTGGAATTGGCTGAATAAGGTTGGCCTGGGGTTATGACCTCTGCTAATTGCTGGTGTCTTTAGTTTAATGACTAGTTTTTACAACTGTTGTTTTGTATGCTCTTGGTACATTTACTCAGCAGGAGATATACATAAAACCATCTGGGTGGGATAGTGTCACAAAGACTAATGTAGCTTTTTAAGGTTTCTATAAGTTAAAAATACTCACTTAATTTCATTATTTAACTGTGAAATGAAAAAAGCACTCATTCACATATATTACTCCTTTGACAAAGCTGCATAATCTGCTGACTCTTAGTAAGTAGTAGTAAAATAGATGTGTATCATTTCTAAATTCCTGAAAATTCTGAATGGGTAAATCTCTTCCTATGCACTCCAATCTTCCGCTTTAAGTGTGCATTTTGCATAGGGCCAAAACTCAGAACAGATGAAAAATGTATTTATATTGTGTCCGGTTCCCTATTTTGGTCTGATTCTACTGTTGTTTTAGTTTTACATTGTATTCATACTCTGCGGCTACTTTTAGTGGTTATGGTGAAAAATCTGCTTGAGTATCATCTCCCTAACTTTGAAAAACAATTATAGGCTAAGGACAACTGGGGCAAGTCAGGCTTGCGCTCTCAGTCTATCATTGTCATCCAAATTCTGAAGGCTAATGTGGACACTCACTTCCGTATTACAGGAGCTGCAATTGAGGGGATGGACTGTAGACATCTCCTGAAAAGACCAGGATGGTACACACAAACCCTTTGGATCATGACCAATACTACTTCTGATGATCATTGGCACCTAGCATTTTTTGTTTTTGTGCTAACTTAATCTAGATTTGGCTGTCGACTGAGTATCTATCTATCTTAATGGTACAGGGTTTAAGTCCAAAGAAATATCTTCTGGTAAGAACCATCCTAGCTAAATCATCCTGCAAGATTTTGCCAAGGACCAACTCTAAAACTTTAAATGAACTAAATGGCTTTTCTTTTTCAGCATTTATATTTGTTTGTACTTTGTAAAATTTATAATATATATAATGAATTATATTTTACATTCTTTCAAATATAAATATATACAAATGTAATACAAACATTATTTGGCTGTTGAAAATCTTTGTAGTATATACAG